TTCTTTTTTCTCCTCTCAGTTCTTTCAGTATATTGCTAATCAGCTCTTGAAAATTATTTAGATTTTCCCAAGTAAATTCAAATTTTCGAAAATCATCTTTAAGAAAAAGGTCTTTTAATTGAAGACAAGTTAATTTTCATCTTTCGAAAATTTTTCTAAATTTGTTTATGTATCTTTCTAAACTATTCTTCAGTTCGCCTAACTGCTCTTTATTTTTTACTCATTTGTTCAATTGAACTAAGTTTGAAGTTAACTGGTATTCTTTATTAAACCTTAGATAAACTTCTTGTAGAGGAATTTGTCGATTGGCTCTAAATTCTTTCTCAACTTGGCAGTAATTAACAATTTTTTTTAAATTAGAGGCTTGCTTTTCTTCTAAATCAGCAAGTCGTTTTTCACTACTAAAGTAATGTCGATTAATATTTTCTTGTCTGTTGCTTTCTAAATGGTTTAATATATCCCGATAAACTTGGGGGGTTTGGGCTAATTCATTTATTTTTATAATTGAGCAATTTAGGCCAATGCTACTTAGTTTTTCATAGATAACTTTCAAAGCTACCTCTTTTTCACAAATCACTAAAACTTTTTTTTGATAAGCTAATGCATTAGCAATAAGATTACATATTAACTGACTTTTCCCAGTTCCTGGTGGTCCATCGATACAAAGAGTGTTTTCAGAAAAACCACGAAAAATAACTTTTAAAATACGAGTTTGGGAAGGGTCGCTTTTGAAGGGAAGGTAAAGGGGACTTGATTGAAAGTCTTTTTCTTTTTCCTCGGGATAGGTAAGCACATTTTCTACTTCACCTCCCAATAAACCCAAAGCCGATTTTGACCAATTAATTATCTTACCTTGCGAATATTCCTCGATGATTTCCTCAAAATCGTGGAACAAACTTAAATTAGGTTCGCTATCAATAGTTAAACAAAAGTTTAAAACTATCTCCAACTGGTTTTCAGAGAAATCTTTGTGTTTATTATTCAAAATTAATTTAACAAATGGGTCTAACTTAAAAGTCTTTTTGCTATTATCATCAGCACTTAAAACTGAATCAGGAAAAGGACTGATGTTTGGTACTTTTTTTTCCTCTATTTCACTTTCGACTGGAAAAAAAATTTTTCCTCCTTCCCCGATTATCGAAAGCATCGTCGAAGAAATTTTGATTCTGACTGAACCGACCGCAACTAATTTTTGCAATTCTCGGAAAAGAAAAATTAAGTAGTCTTCTAATTTATCTATTCCTTCACTACTTTTTATCTTGTTTTCAAATTCAGAAAACTTTCCTTTATCCAGACCTAACTCTTTTTGAAGATAATACAGCAAGCTGTAGTTAATTTTTCTTTCCGAAGTAAAAAGCAAACTTAGTCTTCTGTCTTTAACTTTTTCTAAATTGCACGGCAATAAAAATAAAGGAGCATTAACTAAGCGAAGAACATTTTTGCTATTATAAAAATAACCTCGCACGAAAATAATCCCTAAAAAAAGTGCCTTATGTCCTTTTTCTTGGTAAACCGCCAAATTTTTTTTTTGGAGATAAACTACTTTTTTTTGAAACCTAGAAATGTCTTCGGGAGTTAACGGGGTAAAAAATTTTTCTAAATCAAGCGTTAGGTTCTCTTTACCTTTTCCTGAATTAATCAGCAAGTTTAAAATAGAGAATGAAAAATCAGAAACTTCTTTCGAATTATTTTTATTTAGTAATTCGTTTAAATCTCAAGTTAGTCACTCGCTAAGATAAAATCTTATTTTTCGGTTGTAAAGAGGATTTAAATTTAATAATTTATCCTTTAACCTCTCTAATCCTAAACTTTTAGAGTTTTCCTTATTTTCTGCTTTCATTTCAGTTAAACTAATTGTCTACCTTTAAGATATTTTAAGTTCAATATGGATAAAGTACCAGAAAAATAAAACTAAATAGGGTAGGATGTTTTAGAGGAGAGAATTTTTAGTTAGAATTAAATTAGCCAAAAAAAGTAAAAAATAAGGAGAAATTATTATTAAACTTCAAATTTTTGAATGATTATAGATTTATTAGTTATTTTACACATTTTTTACGGCTTTATTTTTAAATATTTTAAAATAATATATTATGGCAGAAAGGGAAAGAAATTGAGGTCGAAGAGGTCGAAACTTAAATTGAGATGCTTTAGAAAATTTTTTAAATAATAATGGAAGTTCGAGAAATGACACTTCTAATCATAGAGAGCGAGAAAGAGTGAGGCAGCAAGAACAAGAGCAGGAAAGGAGGGAAGAGCAAGCACGCTTAGAGCAAGAGCAAAGAGAAAGAGAATTTCGTTTGGAACAAGAACGAAGAGAACAAGAATCAACGAGGAGAAGAGAGGAAGAAAGGAGAAGAGAAAATGAAGCAATTCAAGCGGAACTTCGAAGACAAGAAGAAGAACTTGCTGAAAG